TGGGGTATGGAATGGGAAGGTAAGCAGGGAACAGTCTCTAGCAAAGTGGTATCTGAACAGAGAACTGCTAATAAAAAAATCAGCCAAAGAAATGTTTCAGAGAACACAATTCCAGGCAAAGAGAACAGCTCATACAAAAAGTCTCTAGGTCATAAATGGGTTTTGCAAGTTTGCAGTACAATAAAAGACCAGTGTAAATGAAGCACAGAAAGAATCTGTCCTATAGACACTTGCATATATCTCCCCTAACAGAGTCTAGGTTTCTTGTAACAAAGGACATCATTCATTATTTTTCCTCTAATTGCCTAGTTGATCCATTCATTTGTTGTATGCCTCCTGTATGCATCAGTGTTTTGGTGCTATAGATCTAAAAAGTTTGAGAAAAGTCTTTGATATTATGCAGTTTATAACTTAGACATCTAAACAAATTTACTGCAACATAGTAGGAAAATACAATATAACGGAAGTATGAAGTCCAGTGGTAGTACTTACACATTCACAAAACAGCCTTTCTTTATTCACTTGTCAAGCTTTTTGGAATATAAGGCTATATATATGAAGTCTCTTCAATTTTTTTCGATTTCTAATCCCTCCTCAGTGCACTGCAATCTCCTACTCCTAATACTAAAATAATCCTTTTTTTTTCAGTCAAGATTATTAATGGCCTTGCCAAATCCCAAAGATGTCTTTCAAGTTCTACTTTACTTTAGGTCTCCATCTCTCATGAAATACTAATCCTTTGGCTTTTAAAACACTACTTCTTTTCTTTTTCATTTTTTTTTCCTATCCTCTTAGGCAGCTCTTTCTCAGTGTTAGTTACTGATTCCTCTCCTTGTCTTTGGTCTGCTTTAAAGGGTAAAATTTCAGCCTTCTTATTACATGCATATAAGGTAATATAGTCAATTTCCATATCCAGTGATTCCTAAGCTGAATCTTCTAACCTACCTCTCCTTCCTGAGTTCCCACTGCCTTTGAATATTTCTATTTGGCTAGCCACATGAATATCTAAAATTCAGTATGTCCCACCTTCACTAACTTGTCCACTTAAATTCCTACACCTAAGTGACAGAATTTTCTAACCAGTCACCCAAGTTAAAACATGTCATACTAGAATGTTTTCTCTTGAATCCTCCCTACATTCAAATGAGTATCTTAAACCCTAGAGATTCTATTTTTAATCTGTTAATACCATCCCTATTTCCACTGTGGCTCTGTACAAGCCCTGATGATTTCTTTCATGGATCACTGCCAGAACCATTCTTCTGTTTATAGACTTAGTTTCAATCCATCCCCTTTAATAACACCAAAGGGGTCATTAAAAAGAGAAATTCTACTACTCTTTTGTCTAAATCTGTAATTTTCTCTCCGTTGCCTTAGGAAAGAAACCCAATCCTTCATGTCATCATACTGATGATTTTGTCCCCTACCAACATCCATAGCTCTTGCTTAACAATGGTCCACATTTATTCTTTGCCATATCCAGTAACACAATTGCTTGTTATATTCTCCTAAAGTTTACGAGTAACTTTCACTGAGGCTGCAATATCTAGCTCAATCAACTGAGGTGTCACTTCTTGAGTAAGTTGTCCTTACCATCTCCTACTACACAATGGATTAAATACCCCAGTATCTTGTGCAGACTCTATCTTATCATATTATTTCAATATTGACTGCTGACCATCTGTGAACTCTCCAGAGACAGATTTATGCTTTCATTTTCTATATCCTAAGTGTGTTAGAACAATGTCTGGCTCCTAAAAGACTGAAGTTTGTTAAAAGAATGCATAACCTCATAGTCTTTATTATAACATTGCATTTATGAAAATATTTTATGCTTTTCTGCCTTAAATTGAAAAAAAAAAGACACCTTGGAAAAAAGGGGAAGACGAGGGTGACCTTCTTAAATGGCCCTCACTGTACTTTTGCATTTTGAGTGAATGGCTTATTATTGGGAGAATTAACTTCATTTTTTCTTCAGTAAATATTTGAAGCAATGATTCTGAAACCAAGTAAAAAGAATTTAAAAACTAAGAGAGTTACAAAGCAAATTTGACTTGGAATTATACTATCTCCTTCACTGGGTTTTTCTCATTAATCTACTGAGAAACACCCATCATTAAATATTCTAGTACAAAATACTGGTAAATTTTCCTAATACAGACTTTCATTTATCAATTACAATGATTTCAGTTTAAATTCTGTATACAGCATTCATAAAAAAGAATTTAGTTGGATAAAAAATAAAATAGATAAAACTTATTTAAATCTTTCCATAAAATTAATACCAGCAGGTAAAACTTAATGACTGCTTACTGTATATCTTGGTCTATACTAGTAATATAATTATATCATATAATCCCACAAAACTATGGGTTGATATTAATATCTATTCTCCCACTTTTTTTGAAATGGGATACAGATGATTAAAGGAATGAGGCCATCTGTCCAAGCTGCACTGCTAGGAAGCGGTAATGTTGTGAGCCATCTAATGCCAAGCTGATGCCCTTAACCACAGTGCTGTCTAAACCACTTCTAACTGTTCCTACTGAGAAAGAATTAGTCCCTTGGAAAAAAACTTTCAAATATATCACCTTACAAAAACCTTAGTAATAAATATGCAAGGTTTTAAGATACCAAATACATAAATAGGAAACACTGGTTCATCTTTCATGATCTACTATCATCTTTAAAGCTTTATCTTATCAGCTTTCAAAACTGATTTTTAAAGCATTAGTCAGTGGGTAGTGTGTTCCCAGTGGAATGAAGGAATGGATAAAGCCATCTGACTTTATAAAGTATTATGAACAGTGAAAACATATTTACCCATGGCACTTGAGGAAATAATCACAAAAATACAAGAAAATTTTAAGTAACAGTTTACCCTCATATCTTTGCATTTCTATTCACAAAGAAACACTTTGGAATCTGCAACTGCAAATCATCAATAAAAAATTACAAATAACACTGACTTTGGCACTCTGCAAATTATATCACATATGTAAAATGTCAACATTTTTAGACTCTTGGTGAGATATAAAAAATAAGTGATAATTTTTCCCCTTATTTATATGTCTTCAACAAAGAAACATAATCTGAAAGCAGTTCCCTTTTCATATATTGTCCCTGTTCCCCAAATCAAATGCTCTTAAAAGTAGGAACTACACATTTAGAATGGGCTATTTTTTTTTATACAGGGCCAGATAGTAGTTAATTTAGGCCTTCCAGTCATAACTACTCAACTCTTCTATTGTAGTATAAAAGCAACCATAGACAATACATAAACAACTGAGCATGTCTGCTTGAGTAACATTTTATTTCCAAAAACAGGTGGCAAGCTAGATTTGACTCGCAGTAGTACTTTGCTAACCGCTTGGTCAGAATGGGGCTCTTCTAACTCAATACCTACCACTCTGACTATATGAGATAGCAAAAGAATTATTATTTCACTCAATTTTCACTAAAAAAATTCTAAATTATGAATCTAGTTCAAATCAAAACACACACAATGCTTCATAAAGTACAGCAACCAAATGCTTACCATCCCTATTGTCTTTAAAGAAACAATCCCCACAATGTACTTTACAAACGTTAAAAATTAAGTTACATATTTTTTATATTCTCAATGCAATGGCATAACTTTATACTCACCAAAATGAAGTACAAACACAATGTAATGCTTTGTTCTCATTATTTCAGCTTATTATTATTTTTTAAAGAATTCTTTAAACATTAGAAATGATACATTTACTTTGTTTTGGGAACTGAATTTAAAAACTAGTATACTATCTTAAAGCTAAATATAATTTTTCATTACCATGTCAGAGTAAATTATTGTTGCAGATAGGTCAAACATTTTTAGCAAACAGATACACCTGTTCTTCACTGTGAAAAGAATAACCTCTGTCAGAAAATTTTTAAAAATTTCACTTTTATGTTGCTTCATAGAGAACAATGGAGGGAAGAAAAGAAGGTAAAAGGGGAGAATACTAAGGTAGGAAAAATGACCTACAAATGCCAGAAGTGGATTAGAACCAGGGAAAAGATACGTATAAAGATATTCCCTACATCCTACTGTTTAGCTGTTTTATAGATGAGTGAGTATACAAGTAGAGGAGAAGTAGATATAAATAAATCTTAGTTTATAAGCATGTTTATAAGAGAGGAATCTATAATTGTCTCAACTGTATAAAATTCACAGCTGCTCTCTTCAAAGACAGAGATAGGAATTTCCATTTTAACTTTTATATGCTATTATTTCAAAAGAAATCAGGAACTTTGTGAGTAAATGCATTACCTTCAGCTCACAGAGTAGTATTTAATTATAAGTACAATCATATTAGTGCAGTTAAGTATTACCCTTGGTGGATACAATAGTCAAGATGCTTAAAAATAAATTGAAAAATTTCCAAAATTTTCTCACTTAAAGCTGAAAAGCTGTGCTTTTCTCTATTCAACAAAAAAGAAACGATAAATAAACCCAAAGGGCCTCTTAGAATATAATACCATATACATTAAATCCTGAGGTGTAAAGGCAAAAAGGTAATGCACAAACCATGTTAGATATGTTCAGATTTTTTTCTGTCATTATTTTAAAGGGAAATTCCCCACAGACTAGCAAGTGGTTTTCTACAAATAATTTAAACACATGTAGTAATCTCTTCTAATATGCTTAACACACTTTGGAAATGCCCTTGGTTTAGAATTAAAATTATTATATTCTACAAAATTTCAAACTGCATATTTGTTTTAATGCTGGAAATTACACTTATCCACGATGTAGGACTATAATATAGCTGTGACTGTGGTATAATATGTCTTTCAGGAATCTTACAAACTTGGATCAAGTCCAGCCTTAAGTAAAATTTTCTGTTAATAAGCTAAAGTACCTAAATTTCCAGTTTTTCACTAAAGGAAAAGACAAAAGCTTTACCTTGAGTTCAACTATAAGCAATGTTTCTTCAATCCCACATATGAATTAAGGTATTTTAAATATTACTTACGGTAAATATCCGCCTGCCAGTTCTATCAAAAGTTACGCAGTACACAGACGACAAGTGTCCAAGAATTCGTTTATGCATTTTCATGTGCTGATATACTGCAGTTGGAACAAGTCGCTCAAGCCTGTATTTCCCATTCAGCCTCCTTGAAAACAAAGTATCCGCTATCAAAAAAAAGAAGGAAAAAATTTAGAAATTATTAGATTTACTATAATTTAGAAACTATAATTTAGAAATTATTTTTTGAATTATAATCTTTTAAGAATTCACATATTCTAATTTGCCATAAGTTAGTATAAAGATGCTGTCTAATGTACATGGCTTCTAATTAAAAGTATACAAAAAGTCAACAAAAACAAATTATTTCACCTGTAACATGCTGCGTTATCCTCATTTTATAAAGAAGCATATTCAGTTAAATGACCTGTCTAACGTCACAAAGTAAATAAGGAATGAAGCTAGGATTAAAATTCAGACTTCTCTATTCTCTGGCTAATGCGCCTTAAAAACCAAAATCATTTTATGTGATATTATTTTTTAAAGGCTCTTATGAAATAGATTTTATGTCCTGGCTGGTGTGGCTCAGTAGATTGAGTGCCAGCCTGCAAACCAAAGGGTCACCAGTTTGATTCCCAATTAGGGCACATGCCTGGTTTCCAGTACCAGGCACATGAGAGACAACCACACACTGATGTTTCTCTCTCTTTCTCCCTCCCTTCCCTTCTCTCTAAAAATACATACACAAAATCTTAAAAAAAAAAAAAAAGAAAAAGAAATAGATTTTCTTACAAAAGCAGTTAAACTGGATCCATTAATTTTAGTTTTCATCATCCACAAACTCATGAACACTCTAAATCTGACATGCCAAATGATGTTTTAAAAAACTTTGCAAAAAATGAAAACAGAGGAAAAATTCTCTGCATTATTTTAAATAAAAATTAAAATAGGGATCTTGCCAAATAACTATATAATAATTCCTTCTCCACAACTTAGGTGCTCTTTTCCCAACTCATCCATTTTAACCATCTTTCAAGCTATTACTGAAATTCATCTTTTATTGCAAAGCTTGAAGTGTTGACTCTAGCACCAAATGCTCTTCCATTTATATTATGACTGTATTTATCCTCTATAGATAATTTTGGACAAAGAAGGCATTCAATAAACATATGTGACTGATTGGTGGGCATATTATTCACCTATAGATTATCTTTTAATATAAGGCTTTTTCCCCCAATTGTGACTGCCATCTAGTAAGCACTAAATGGACAGTATGCACTATAGTTTCTCACTTGAATTTAGTCCCAAAGATAATTAAATATGTATACAAAAACTATTTAACCTAGATTTAGCGCCTAGCAATTATACCCCAAAATGGATGAAATACAAATATCTCAGCTATATAGTACAAAATATCAGTATTTAGTGTTTCATCCACATATGATAAATGTTTGTATATTTAAAATGTATATTTGAAAGCAAAAAAAAAATAAAATCTTGGGGAATGGTGAGGAGACATGTAGAAGAATGGTTTGCAAGTTCTAATGCAATAAATAATTCAAGAAATAATTACATTATGCTTACATGTTCTTTTACTACATCCATCATTTTATATTCTAATAGAGGATCTCTCCTGCTGTTAGGATAAAAGTTCTATGCAACAATCTATTTCAACTTCTAAAAATATCCACAAGATAAGCTTTAACAATTGTTAAATAGCATATTTAAGCTTAAACTGGTTATTAAAAAGTTAACAAAAGTGAATGAGTTTCTAATAAGCCCTGACACATTTTTCCTTATGCACAGAAATGGCTGGTAAAGACATCCTCCAGTGCTTTGACTCCAAGCTGATTTAGAGAAGGAATCACACAAAACCAATCATCAACTGTTCTGCCAAACAAGAAAGCAAATGATCATATGCACACACTAAGAATCAGTAACACTTCAAGCTTACCTGTCTATTCTGTAAGAATATAAGTAATGACATAGAATACAAATGTTGACAGTGTTACCAAGATGTAGTTCAATTCCCTCCATCCAAAATTTAACAAAATTCTTGAAATGTCAGATTTTACTAAAATATGTAACATTGCCAAAATTACTTAAAATGAATTTGTTTATAAAGACCATTTGGAAAATCAAGGTTGATGATGTATTTTTCTAGGCAAAAAATACATCCCTTAAGTAAAGAGAAAAAATGTTACTGCTCTCTTAAACACAGTTTTTACTAAATCTATATTTAAACTGGGATTAAATCTTCACTTTCATTTTGGTAGTCAACTGGAAAAAAGAAGAAAATTCTTTCACAAAGTTACTTGACAGTCAACTTTTCAAGTAAAACTTTCCAGAAACATAATATTAAGTGCAATGTATTTACAGTTAAAACTATATTCCATACTACCCTTTATTATGTTTCACTACCACTTAATACTGAGCGTCTATAGTATGACTATATCCTAAGGGAGAAGGTATTTAGCCAAGACCTTGCTCTCAAATCAGAAACTTGTGTTAACAGTGCTAAAAGATATGACCTGCAGAGAGAGCAGTATGCAGAGTTCCCAGGTAATAAGTTTGTAATTCAAACTTGATACAGGGAGTTAGAGAAGAAAATATAAGTATAGTTCAATAGTTATAGTTCAACTTGAAGAGGCTGAATATAACTATATTCAAACAGTTACAGTTCAACTTAAAGAAAGCCTGACCAAACAGAAAGGTAGAGAATTTCTACAGAAGTAGAAAGGGGGACATTCTAGGATTTCCACTTAGTAAATTCACATTTTATTTTACTATACCATTTGCATAATGTCTATTTCCCTTATGGGATATTAAGTACCTTAAAAACAGAAATTGTTAAATATTTCCCACAACTGAATCTAGAGACTTTTATATAAAATGTATACAAATGAATATTGGTTAATAATAACCAATATTTCAATCAATCATATACAAGATGATTCAATTTAATTTATAGTTTTATGGCAGAAAGGCAAATGGCAATTATTCACTTTCTAAAGAAGTTGTTAGACTAATTGGATATGAGTAAAAAAGGAAATGTTTCTTGGATTATAGGAACTTCTTAAATTTTATTAAACTAAAACATCAATTTTCTAAATGAGCATAGTTAAACAGATATAAGAGGTCACAAAGGAGTAAGTTCTTTACATGACATTAGAATAGTTTAACCTTAAATCAAATAGCATATATGGCTTTGGTTTAAAAGTACATTTATTTTCATAAGTATAGTGACAGGAAATATTCTTAAATTCAGCCTGCCAAAGAAAATCTCTATTATCTTCACTTGGCATAAATCCTTTCTTACCCTCCAGGGCCAGTTAAAATGTAACCACCTTGACTTCTGACCAAGATATAGGTAGATACATGGTGCTTCCTTGCACAACCAAAAGAAGGACAAAAACAAATTTAAAAACAAGAAATATCCAAAACCGCCAGAAAAATCTAACTGTATGGAAGTCCAACAATCAAAGAGTTAGAAACATTCATCCAGACTAGTAGGAGGGGCGGAGATGGGCAGAGGGAGTGAAGAGGACCCCCAGCAAAGTGGCAATGCATCAGCTGGAGGACCAGGGTGATCGAGGCAGTGGCTGGCGGAGTGGGCAGTCCCACATTTGTGTGTGGCTAATCAGGAGGAACAACTAGGGAGTGAGACAGACCACAAAACCCAGGGTTCCAGCATAGGGAAATAAAGCCTCAAAACCTCTGGCTGTAAAAATCTGTGGTGGTTGGGGTGGTGGGAGAAACTCCCAGCCTCACAAGAGAGTTCGCTGGAGAGACCCATGGGGTCCTAGAATGTACACAAAACCACCCACCTGGGAATCAGCACCAGAAGGGCCAAATTTGCTTATGAGTATCAGAGGAAGTGACTGAAAACCGTGGGAGAGCTGAACAAATGGCACTGTTCTCTCTCAGAGCCCTCCCCCACACACAGCATCACAATGCAGCAATGTGGGTTGCCCCGCCCTGGTGAATACCTAAGGCTCCACCCTTTACTACATAACAGGTGTGCTGAGACAAAAAATATGGCCCAAATGAAAGAACAGATCAAAGCTCCAGAAAAAATACAACTAAGCAATGAAGAGATAGCCAACTTATCAGATGCACATTTCAAAACACTGGTAATCAGGATACTCACAGAAATGGTTGCCATTGGTTGCAAAATAGAGGAAGAAGTGATGGCAATGAAAAGTGAAATAAAAGAAAATGTACAGGGAACCAACAGTGAAGGCAAGGAAAGCAGGACTCAAAATCAATGGAGTGGACCAGAAGGAAGAAAGAATCAAACAGAAAAGAATGAAGAAATAAGAATTCAAAAAAATGTGGAGAGGCTCAGGAACCTCTAGGACAACTTTAAATGTTCCAACATCTGAATCAATGGGGTACCAGAAGGAGAACAGGAAGAACAAGAAATTAAAAACTTATTTGAAAACATAATGAAGGAAAACTTCTCCAATCTGAGGAAGGAAATAGACTTCCAGGAAGTCCAGAAAGCTCAGAGAGTCCCAAAAACCTTGGACCCAAGGAAGCACACACCAAAGCACATCATAATTACATCACCCAAGATAAAAGATAAAGACAGAATCTTAACATAATGCGTACTGCATAGAAATCTCTAAGACATACACCAGAGACCACATGTTTTGGGGCAAACTGCATGTTATTTAAATCATCATAACTACAGCTCATAATGCACTTTAGGTGTTTTTCAATAATTGTAACATTTTTATTTACAAAAACAATTAAACAACTAATTAGACAATTAAAGGTCCTAATACTTTTTTAATGTATGGTACTGCGTAAAACATTTTCCTCTATGAAGAGAGACCAAACAAAATTTACAGCAGTGTCTAGATTCCATAGTCCTTTTTCCATGGGCGGCACAAACTCTGCAGGCTCTCTCAGGAAATTTTTTCTTTCCACCTGCTGGAATACACATAGGTTCATGCTGCTTCGTATCACCTGACAACCTTTTGGGTGGATCTTTATGAGGTGCTCTCCTTGCACCCCCAGGGGAAGGGCTGGACAGATTTGTCTCTGGTTCTGGAGAGCCTTCATTATTGTCATCCGTTATCCAGTCTCTCGCCACTGATAGCAGAAACTGTTCTTCATTTCCTCTTGCCCCTTGTTGATAGTTTCTATTTCCTTTTTCATA